CAAGAAAGATCATGGACAGGGAAGGATCTCCCAGGGCTGTAGCCAAGGGCCAAGGACAAAGCACCCAAGGGTGCTTCCCTCAAGGTGCCACAACAGTACAGAGGACCTTCATGGCATCTGCCTACCGGGACCCTGCAGTGGCCATGGATAAACAAACTGCGGCATACTGTTATGATGGAACACCACTCGGATATTAAAGGGAAAGGACCACTGATACACACAACAACGCGGTGCTGAGTGAGAAAAGCCAGACTCACAGGAACACGTACTATATGAATCCATTTATATGAAGTTTACACTGGCAGAAAGCAGATCAGGGGTTGCCTGGCTGGAGGGAGAGGTTTCACTGCAAAGGGACACAAGGAAACCTTCTGGGGATAATGAAATGCTTTATAAAGTGACTGTCGAGGATGGAAGCCACATGGCGATACACAGTTCTCCAACCTCGCTGAATTGAGCACTTACGGTCTACACATTTTCTTGCATGTAAATGGTACCAGTGAAAACAGCAACAGTAACACTCACAAAAAAAGTAATATAATTTGCACATGAAATTCCTAACCCCAAACCATTCCTGTATACTTTACCTTGTACAGACTTTAATTTGGGGAGTCAGAGAAAACCAGGGAAGATTGCATGCCCAAGCTAAGGGCAGGCCTGCATTTTTCAATTTGCCTTGAGCCTAATTGCTTTTCCATGTTCAGGTTAAGCAGCACTCTCTAATGTATTTTTGGTCATTAATTTAAATGTTATGCTTGATTTAACTGGGATGTTCACACTTTGATATAAATCTACATAGCACATTTATATTCCCCATTTTTGTCGCCTACAGTGACTAGTAGGTCATTCTGGCCTGTGCTATGGGAGCGAGTCACTAACCTGAACCATCTGTCCTCGAGGCAGACCCACTTCTACTGCCCTATTAACCACTTTGCTGCTGCTTGTCGCTCACGTCCGGGCTTTATGTATCTATGTTTTCTGCCTAAGTGTTAAAAAAGCAAAAAAGCCAACACATTTGCATGAGTTCCATAAATGGGACTTTATTTTGCCAAACCAGATAGTTATCTCTGTTCCTACCCAAGGAGAACTGCACATTACATTTTTTATCTATGGAAGACACTGACTTTTGAAGGAATTCATAAAATATGTGACAGAGCAAGCTTAGTTATTTTCTTTCTCTGAGGTTTATGGTCATTATGAGTTTTATCTCAAAGATCTGGGCTTGCTTTAAGTCACCTGAAACCAAAGCCCCAAGAGCACGGGACAAAGGACTGGGGAATGGAAGGACCCAGAGGAGGTGATGATGGGAAGTACTTGGAAGGGGAAAGGGGCCCTGGGAAGTAAGACAGGAGAGGGCACCTGACAGCACCTATTTCATGTAGGGACACAGGGTGTGGAGGTAAGACAGGACGACTGCACCTACTTCATGTAGGGACACAGGGTGTGGAGGTAAGACAGGACGACTGCACCTACTTCATGTAGGGACACAGGGTGTGGAGGTAAGACAGGACGACTGCACCTACTTCATGTAGGGACACAGGGTGTGGAGGTAAGACAGGACGACTGCACCTACTTCATGTAGGGACACAGGGTGTGGAGGTAAGACAGGACGACTGCACCTACTTCATGTAGGGACACAGGGTGTGGAGGTAAGACAGGACGACTGCACCTACTTCATGTAGGGACACAGGGTGTGGAGGTAAGACAGGACGACTGCACCTACTTCATGTAGGGACACAGGGTGTGGAGGTAAGACAGGACGACTGCACCTACTTCATGTAGGGACATGGGATGTGGACGTAATACAGGACGACTGCACCTATTTCATGTAGGGACACAGGGTGTGTAGAGAGGAGGGGCCGAAGATGTCACGTATTTCATGCAGGGACACATGGTGCAGAGGAGCATTTCTGGGCTTGAATCCCAGCCAGAACGTCCAAGGACTTCCCTTACACCAGTCAGAACCTAATGCCCACCTTTGGCATTTCTAAGTTCAGAGCTGGGTCAGGGACCAGGCTTGAGGAGGAGGCTGAGATAGGGCCCCATGGCCTGCACAAGCAGAGCCCTCTGGTCCGTCTGTCACACCGAGTCCCTAGCACTGGGCCACACCCGTGGGAAGCGGCCCGAACTCTGACAGCCATTCCGGGTTACTTGACAGCGGATGTAAATGAACAGCTCTCAGCCACTTCAGCGAAAAGCAAAAGGCAAGGGTACTTCAAAAAGTTTGTGGAAAAATAAAATTGAAAGAAAATACAAATCTCTCCATGAACTTTTTTGTAGTAATTTCGTATTGTAAAACGTATTCCTGAATCCCAAACCATTAAGAAACTGATGTCAGCAATATTTTTTTTCTTCTTAGCAAATGTGCAGCTTTTGAGCTAGAAGAAGGACGGGCTGGAGGGCTGGGAAGGAAGGCTGGAGAACAGTCAGAGATCATTACAGTGGGGGAGTCACGGGCAAAAGCTCAGCACTTCACACAGGGGAAAGGGGGGCTCTCCAGGACCGTTGATCTAAGCACGTAACCAGGGAACGGGCCCTGTTTGGGAATAGGTTAAGTACCTTCCCCTCACACTGACCACATCTGCTTTACAAAATCACTGGAGAAGGTGGGATATCTATTATTGATTGGCAGACTTACCCGTCATTTTAAAAGCCTCTGAAAAGCCTTGGGCTGAGGTTACTGTGTTGATTGCATGCAGGCAGGTGGGAGTAGGGGAACAGCTTCCACCTGGCTGGTGACTGCACAGAGGTGTGTGAGGATCCCTTCTGAGGTATCGGTAGCCCATTCACAAAATCACCACCCTTGAGAGAGGCCGAGACTCAAGGACATCTAGGACTGCTCAGTATCAAAGTCGAACGGGACTTCTGCAGATGACTTTCCAGCCTGCCAGCCATCCACCTGCCAGCCCAACAGTCCCACTACCTCCTGCGACATAACCTGTGGGTGAAGAAATTGTGTGGGAAGATTTGAAAGGGCCAGAAAAACCCAAGACATTGGAAGGTAGAACTTTCCTAGATCCTGACAGTGATTTAGGAATTGGGATTCACTCGTAAGTATATTAAAGAAGAAGGTGTTGGCAGAGGGGCTTGATGTTAAGGCTATTTAGGAAGCTTTTCACATAACCAGCTGACTTGTAACTGGGAGGTGTTTTATTTCGATAATTTTGTTCCCTGCCTTCCAACATTATTGAAATTTCAAAGATGAAGACCAAGGGGAAAATGTTCACTAATGCTTGTGTAGTAGGCAAGAGCTTGACCGTCGACTCCAACACACTTCTGAGGATGAGGCTGATGGGGAAACTGTGTCAGGAGCACCGAGGGAAAAAAGAGCGAGCATTTCTGTTGCCCCTGCGTAGGCTGCAAAGCCCTGGGTTCATTTTCCAAAGCCAAAGGTGCCAAAAAGAACCAAATTCCAAACTAAAAGCTAGTACTTAAATTTGATATTAAAAAAATAAAAATGAAAATAAAAGAGAAAATCTTGATGAAAGAAGTCCACGTTACACCAGTCACTAATTTTGAACCCTTAAAATAACAGGTACTAAAATCCTAAAACCACCAAACCATAACAAAGATGTAACAAGCCTCTGACTTCACATCCACCTAACCAAGCAGGATTAATTCATGGCCTAGGAATTCTGCAAGCGTATGTTTATTTATAATACTCAATATTCCCATAAGCGCACACGTTCCAAATGGAAGGTTGCATTTGATAATGCCCATTTCTTCATTAAGATTTCATCATCCACCTACATTAAAAAGCCTCTCCCCACACGTTGCTGCTCCTGCTTTCACCTTGTCTGTTCCTGCTTTATTTGCTTAATCTTGAGATCCCGGCTTCCCGAGCACTCTCAAATTTGAAACAAGCAAAGTTTGTGCATTAGCATATCCTGGGCATGCATGATTTATGAATGGCAGGTTCCTTGGCACAATTTAATATGAAAGGAGAGACTTTGTTTTAAACATTAAAATGAAAGCCAAGAAGGGGCAGCAATGGGTGGGATATCAGAATACGCAGCGTGTGACGTTCAGGTCGAGGGCTGACCAGTTCCTACTTGGTCTCTTTCTTAGTCTGTGGACTGATGCTCCAACCGATGGAAGAAATTATGTGGAGCCCTGATATTTGACCAAATAAAAATGTGTTTTATATTCTTATTCTGATAACTCATCCAGCCGAGCCCTCACTCTACAAAAGAAAAAATATATATATAAATAGAGAAAAAAAATGCCTTTGATTAATTAAAAATCAATTTGTTTTCTCTTTACTAGGGATCCTATACACATTCAGGCCATTTTCCACCATAATAATTATTTCTCTGCCAAAGTCTTCTGTAAATCAACCTAGCAGTCAGCCTTAAAAAAATCTTTTAAAGAAAAGTCAAAGCCTTCATAATATCAAGAGAACTACCCTTCCTGAGTAAAAACAGAGTCTGATTCTTGTCATATGCCCATGTAATATAAAGGCTTGATATAAGAATCTATTTTTCTCATTACAAAATCTGAACTCAAGAAATATAATTTTTGTTTAATAATTATAACAAAAACGTACTTAGTAAGCAAAAATAATCATTAATCATTCCAAATGATATCTTGTATTTGAGATATCCCAACCACTTCGTATACAGACAAGTAATATCTAACCTTTCTCAGCACATGGCTAAGTTGAAGAACTCGTGAGATTGTAACTCAAGCCCTCAAATAGCAACACAGCAATTTTTCATTTAAGATTATGACGGTAATGCAGTGATTGCTCATAAAAGCTTTCAGAAGACCTGAGAAGTATGGATATCAATGCTAAGAAATGAGGCTGGATAAAGCCCCTGGCTTGAGCAAACTCAGGATTCACAGACAGCCGGAAACTTTGCTTCCTACAGAAGCCTTCCATATCCTTCACAGCAGAACCAACTCTGAACCACATTCACCACTCAGAGCACTTTTTTGTCCACTTCAGAGAACACTGGCCAGGGGGTAGAGCCCAACATGCACATGGATGCGTGGGTTACCTTGAAGATTTTGCAATGGCAGAGTCATGATGCCTCCGGCTGCAGCTGCGGCTACCAGCCCTTGGATGTTGGTGAGATTCGCTGTAGGCAGTGTGAGAACCAGTCCTTGTTGGCCTCCGAGCTGTCCGGCCATGTTGAAGGGGATGAGGATAGGCTGGTTGAGGGCTGGGGGACCACCCGGCATCACGCTGGCAACAGCAGAGGCTAACTGCTGTGCCGTCAGAAGTGGCTGCAATGACACAGATAAACCTCGCTCACCTTCCAGTGCAACCAAGACGTGGGCTTCAAAAGCATTTTCCTTCCACTTCAGGAGGGTCACACATTTCCTTAAGAAGTAGCAAAGAAGCATGCTCTATCCCAGAAAAAAACGCTGCTAGAAAAAAATTTTGAAATTTCATTTCATTTATTTCATTCCAAAATTTCATTCAGTTTGGACTTCTTCTGAGGGGCTCAAATACCTTTAAAAGTAATACCTCCTAGTTATAAATTATTATTCTTCCAATAAATTTTCATTTGATTCTACCTTCATATATTTGAAGCTCTCAGCTAATTTTTTTCTGTGTTGTTCCAGAAAGAATTCATTGGGATCGGTGGGATTTTCTGGTTCAAAAATAGCAACAAAATACTATTTTCAACTATTAAATTAACAAAAATAATGTAAAAGTTGTAGTTGATGGTAGAAAGTCTGCTGTGACATGATCGTGCAGATCTTTGGCTGGAGGACATGCATAATCCTTTCAGAAAGCAATTTCAAAATACATTATCAGGAGCTACAAAAATATTCATCCCCTTTCGACTCAGAATATATTCCAAGGATATAGCTCAAAGATATAATTCAAAAGGAAAAAAGATAAATGCATGAAAATACGCATTATATTTTAAAATATATAAATATTGAAGAATAGTTTGTTATAGGACTAAACTTAATGAGATATTGTTTAGTCCTTAAGATGGATCATTATGACGCCTCTTTGGAAAAATAGAAAATGTCTGTAATATGAGAATATATAAGAAAATTAATTTTATAATTATTAAATAAACTTGAAGGATTATTATGAGAATGGTAAAATTATATGTGTACAATGAGAAGATCTAAAATGAAATATAAAAAAATAAAAGTATTTGATGTGGATAAAGTTTACAATCTTTTAAAAAATCATTTTGTTATTACTCTAACATTCTTTGCTCAATTAAAATGACATTATAAAAACATGTTCATATCCACTACTGATCCAATAGCCGTTTGGTATAGAAAGGCAGCTGCGTGGCACTAGACTTCTTTGAGTGCAGACATAGGAAGGATTTCTGCACTGGCCAGGCCAGATGACTGCAAGAGTCACTTGATCTTAGAGTCCTTGATCCAGGAATTTCACTGGACCCCTATGAGGGCTGTGTGGATCTGTGGAACACAGTCCTATGTCAAATTTCTTCTAGAGGGACCAGTACAAACTCTTATCCAGGGGGTTTCAACATTTTTTTTTAATGCAGCAGGATTCTATCAAGGAAAAGATAATTAAATATAGGCATGGTACAAAACCCAATATAAAATAGCCAGGCACTGTTCTGATGCTGTAGTTATCCTGCCAATCAGGCACAGAGAGGTTTGTGTGTGTGTGTCAGCGGGGGTTGGGGAAGGTTTCAGGTTCAAGTTCCAGGCAGGCTGCTCCAGAGTCCATGTTTTATCCCTTTCTTGTCACACCCTCCAATACAAGGAATGGACTCAGAGAAGTGGAGCTGCTTTATGTGAAAATCGAGGAGAGGGTAAAGAGGGCTAGGTGCACTCCTTGGCTGTTCCCTACAGTGTCTCCTCCATGCCCCCTCTGGAGAGACTCTGAAGATGCTCCAGGATTCAGCACAGCTGCATTTTAGAACACTGCTCTGGACCTCATGGGCTAGCTCCTAACACATCTATACACTTTGCTAAACTCACACTAAGTAACTGTGCTTCCCTTTTCAAAAAAATACTGTTAGTCTAAAAAGCAAATTATAGGCTGTCCCTGAGATTCCTGGTGCTGCGTCACTGCCACCGGCAATGTTACCGTAAGAGGGAAGGCAGTCAGGTGGCCCTCGGACAGCATCCTGGTCGTGGGTGTTTGGCCTGCAGCAGCATTTTAAAAATTGGATTTGTGGGCTCAAAGCTGAGCATGTACTCTTCAGTTTGTAACAGTGCCACCACCTATCACTATCCTGGGTCTGTCCTGCTGCTTACCAAACCTGCATTACCACTCCAGGGTAACACACATACCAGGAGTATGTTACCCCTAGTGCATTCACAGGTGTGCACACACACACACGCAGGTACACATACACATGTGATATTACAAGCATAAAATTATAAAGGGTATGACCCAAAACAGCCCTGTAAAGTTCCTAAGATTCCCTGTAAAACTCTCTCTAGGTTTCACAATCCAGCAGACATCTTCCCAGCCTTTATGTCCATGGGTCCATCTGGGCTCTGAGATGAACGAAGCGGTCTGAGGTCACAGGGAGACCCAGTAGTGACTGGAACAAGAACGTCAAGACCAACCAAGCTCCAAACTTGGATGAATCCTGCACATGCTGCAAGTGATTAACTTGCAGGCACAATGACAACAGTGAAAGGGAGAGAAAGGCTGAAGTATCAGCTTCTCTTTCCGCGAAAGCAGGATGAGCTCTGAAAGCGTCACACTAAATGACAGAGCTAAAAAAAAAAAAAAAAAGTCCAGCCTTTTATAATCGTGTCCTACATCTCCATATAACCCACACCAGGCTGCAAAAAACAAATATTGGACTTTAAAAAATAATGAATGTATTTCTTTATTAATGCAGGAGCTTTGTGTGATGTACAGTATTGTCAAGCCCAATAAGCTGAACTTGCATTAAAATTTCATTAACTTTTTTATATTAAATCACATCTTGTATTTCAAAAATGGCTATAGTAAGGTTGAAATAACTTAATTTTCTTCACACTTCAGTCATTAAAGTTTTACTTTCTAGAAAACTGCATAGTAACCAACAGCACAGTTGCAGTGGATTTCAAGGAAAAAATATGTTTCCAATGATTAAAACCAATCTTCCTTTAAGAAGAGAGAAGAGTTTTGCAAATGCATATTTTCTTGGAGGTATATAATAAATAATGTAGTCATACAGTTTCGCATACAAAAATTTATCACCATCTTTGCCCTGTTGGAGTTCATTGGATTTAACTCATTACTATTTATTTGGTTATTTTTATGGTCAAACCATGCTAAATGCAGTCTAGTTGAAAGCAGTTGAGAGATACTGACCTGTGGCCCCACCGGAAATGGGGGGTGGGTCTGGCCGGCCTGGTGTTGGTCAGGAGTGCCTGGGTCTGATAGTGCCGGGTTTCCTCTGGCCCCTGGAATTCAAAAGAGAAGTGCTCCCTTAATATATGGTCTAGCCTGGGAACTGCACACAATTTTGTTTTCCTGTGATGTCATATAATATTAAAGCACAGATGATATGACAGAGTGGTTTATCAATAGCTCCAGTGCTCAAATCACTTATCAACTAAGGGACAATCAGGATGCCCAAAGTCATCGGGAGGTAGAAGGCTAGGACAGCTGGGAAAGTAACACTGTCATCAGGGAAGCTAACAGGCTTGCATTAGAGCTCAGTTTGTACAGTACACCAGTGCATTATGTGTGGGAAAGGGCATTCGTCATGCACAGGCAAGCAATAGCTTATCTAATTTCCCAAAGCCAAGGAAAGTGTGATCTCAGACCTGACGACATCCATCTGTGTTATCACTTGGTATGGCTTCCTCGTGTCCTTCATAACCCTGAGCCCTGTCTCCATACATGCTTCAGACACTGAACCTTACAAATGCACTTCCTAAAAACAAAGCCTTTTTCAATGTTACCATATATGATACTGAAAAAAAAAAATCCTAAAAAGAGTGTGACTTTCCTTAAGCAAGTTTCTTCAGTGCTAACTGAAACAGTAGGAATCCAACACTAACTGTAGGGAGCCCCACTATGCTAAGCATAGAACACAGTTGACTTCCTTTGCTGGAATCCTTTTGGACACCAAAGCAGGAGAGATGAAACTCCACCAAAACAGCAAATCTTTCAAACCCCTCTAACATCATAGTTTCCCTGTGTGTGCTTGTCACCGGGGATGAAGTACCCATTTGGCTCAGTTCTTTTTCAGGTAAATGAAGAATCAGAAACCTAAACCAATAGCAGTAGCAAAGCTTTAATGAGCACAGGAAATATGGGAAGGAAGAAAATCTTCAAGAGAGAAGTGGGCCATTCCCTTGAGCAGTGAATGACCCTTACGTGCAAGTTCATGTTTGTTTTATTCCACTAACTTTGCATATGCATTTGTAAGCCTGATTAACACCTTTGATTGACATTTGTGGTTATATCATCTCTTTGCTAGTGCACATGTCCTTACCCATAATTCAGTCTGTTATAATGATATGTATTTATGGATCGCATATGTATTTAAAGATAATAAGCATTAGCTATCCTGAGATTACTTAAAAGTCTCAAAATGTCCCTTCTGTGCATGTCTCTCGATCTGGAAAGTCCCTGGCGAGCCCCTGATAGATACATGAAACCATAGATACATGAAAAATAGACAAACAAAAAAAAAAAAAGAAAAAGAAAGAAAAATAGACAAACAAATAAAAATAGCAACAATTTTTGTGGGTTTCTAGTAGGTAGCTTTGTTTTCTTGGAGTTTTCTAACTGGGTAGTTGTTTTACTCCATCTTCTGTTGCTATAACAGAAATACCTGAGACTGGGCAATTTATTATGGTTCTGGGACAGCTGCATCTGGCATGGGCCTCAGGCTGCTTCTACTCATGGTGGAAAGTGGCAGGCAGTGGGTACAAACAGATCACATGGCGAGAAGAAGCAAAAGAGAGAGAGAGGAGGGGCCAGGGTCCTTTAAACAACCAGCTCTCATGGGAACTAATAGAGCGAGAACTCACTCATTAATCCCCCCTCCCCTAGGGAGAGCATTAATCCATTCATGAGGGATCTGCCCCCATGACTCAATCGGTCTCCAACACTGCCACATTGGGGATCGGATTTCCACATAAATTTTGGAGGGGACAACACATCCAGACTCCATTAGTAGTTGAAATCCAATTCTAAGCAAACTTAACAAGATCCCTTTCCTGACGTTCGTCCTGTGAATAGCAAGTAGAAGACAACTCAAACCCTGTTTACTGGAGGCCATGGATGACTGAGAAAAGAAGATATGGTTCTGCCACACTTATAAATTTTAAAGAAGGTATTATTGGCTCATTAAAAAAAAATTCTTCTATATATTCTCCAAAGGGACAGACTTATAAATAATGGAAGTGTAGAGAAAATACTTCAACACATTAAGCTACAAATAAAATTGACTGCTACATATTATTCAATTGACTTCCATCTCCACAGCAATGTGTCAATCATAACAGCATTTTATAATAGGATTAAGCAATAAACGTGCAAAGCCATTATGCAGAAATCTGAAAATCTGATTAATTTGTAATATTTTTTTGTGCAGAAAGTCAGGAATGGACATTGCTTGGGGAATACTTACAAGCATTCTATTGAAATTTCTAAATTGATTTGGAAGAAACTAATAAAAACACAGACTTGCTGACATTTTATAAAGTGAATTCTGTCAAAATATCTTTGGCATTTTAATGATTGCTGTCATTTAATAACGAGGGAAAGATGACCCATCATAAGATGCCAACAATTTCCCCATAATGTGCAGAAGAGCTTTTTTTCTAAAATTTTTATGTGATTTACTTATTATGCTTGAAAAACAGGGCATTTTAAACTGGGAGGTGCCTTATGCAGTGTAAATCTCATAGTGTCTGTTCTTATATGCCCAAGTCCCATTTTGCCTTAAAGTCCTCAGCAGAGCTTTATGTACTTCAGAGAGCTTACTAGGTCCCAAAATGTTGATTTTGGTCAAATATTCAGATTAGGTGAATCCTCAAATGGCTTAAAATTCACTGTTTTAAAAAATTTGGTTGCTTCTCCATACTTGCCAGGCATGGATTTTTACACCAGACTATGAAGACTTTTATACAGCACAGAAATATGGAAAAGTCCTTTTAAACAATTAAAAAATATATATCTTAAGTTTTTAAAATGTCCACACCATGCCAGTCCCTCTGTCCCATATTTCTTTCACGTATCCCAGGCACACTTTTTTACTCTGTTCCTAAATGGTGCCACTGCCATGCTTAGGATCCATCGCTCCCATACAGGCACCGTGTCAAGACCGTGTTTGTTCCTTGCAACTTTACACAGATTACATTTGCTTCCATTTATTCTTTGTTGCTTTGAGGCCCTAACTGGTGCTTAGCAGCTTGTTCTGAAGCCAGTTACTCTCAAAAACCATGTTCGATGCCATCCAGGGCAATTCCACACAATTTCATGTGTAAAATGAAGTCTTTCACAGGCTCTAGAGGAGATTATGTATGCTCTCCTGCCTGGATCAAAAAATAATGTTTCCTCTTAATGTGCCTCTCCATTTCCCAACACGTGTATCACGCTTGAACTTGCAGGAACGTAAACAAATCTGTCTGGTCTGAAGACGGCTCCCAAACCAGGGGCCTTCTCAGAGCCAGAGGGGAAATCCAGCAGTCAGGATGAATAGATGACGTCAGCTAAGGGTTTCAGGGAGATTTGAAGCAACACTTGGCTATATGTTAGCAGAGAATTTGAGGTTGGCTATTTCCATGGCCACAGATAGGAAAACAAACTCGAATGGGTTGGGCGGATTCCTCCTGACCAGGAGCATAGGAACCATGTTACATCTCTGGAGACCAAGTATTCCAGAAAAGCTCTCTGAAGCCTGTTTTGAAGCTAATAGCCTGTGGTTTTTAGACAACAACTGTGAGCTCTGTAGATCAGGAACTGTGTTGCTGGTGCACCCCTTTACGTAAGCATTTCATGCACATTTTTTGAACGTTCATCCAGGAGAGAGAGAGGTTTGCGTTTTTGTTTGGGACTGGTTTAATTCCTTTAAGATGGGTATTGGCATCCACTTTACCTGCTATGGTTTAACATAAACCTTGGAAATATCTTTAAATTGTTAGCTTATTCTAGCTCAACTCCAATTTAGATATTAAAAGCAGTTTGGTGTAACGGTTAAAAGCAAGAACCCTTTTAAACTCTGCCTGGGTTTAAATTTAGCGCTACCATGTAACTAAGTATGTGAACTTGGGCTTGTTTTCCACCTTCTTTGTGCGTCAGCTTCCTCTTGTAAGTCAGGGACAGTGACAGTACCTCGCTTGTAGGGGTGCTGTTGTGAGGATTAAATGAGCTAAGGCATATGTAAATTTCTTGAAACAGTGAATTTTTGCCATCTAAGTGCTATTTCTGCTGACTTATTATTTAATAAGATCTTATTTGTATCTAATAATATTTAATATTATTTAATTTGTCCGTAATATTTACCAGTCCCAAGTCAACTCAGTACACATTCCCTCTCACTCCAGCTAAGCGTGGCGGCTCTGTGCTGACCCTAACCGTGTGGGCACATGATTAGATGAACACTTGGAACTGAACTAACTAGTCAGGTCTTTGAAAGCCAAGATGTACTAAGATGTAGTGCTTTCTTTAGTCCATGGTAGCATAATCAGGAAATACGATACAAAGATACCGGCCAATAGCTTCCAAATTCTCACACACACCCTGGCTGAGACCAGCGGTCCCCATCCAGGCTGGTGAATCACTTGTGCAGCTTCTTGAACACACAGAGGTTCACATCCCTCAACAGGCTACTGACCACATCTAAGGGGAAGCTCACATGTCCATTTAATAAAACTCCACCAGTAATTAAAAACCACAGGGAGCCAACAGTGGCTTAGATGCTGCCCAGGAAAGTCTGGATCTCCTTCATGCAGGGGATGCCGTGCACAATTAGTTTTATGAGGAGCAGATGGGTCATCAGCTAGCATTACCCTTGGCCTTTCCAAGTTTCTTCACCTGGGACGTTCTCCCATTGTAATACTAATTGACATCCAGCTTAGCATGGGAAAGAACCATCTCTGACACATCTATTCTGTAATTACAATTTAGTCACAGGTAATTCGAAGAGTACAAATACGGATTCTAAGGGGACCATAATATAAAATTTTAAATTGCCATATAATAGGAGTTAATTATCTGCAAATACAGGGAACCCTGATTTAAGTATTATGGAGTAAGGGAGGAATTGGTAAAAGGACACAAAAAATGATTACACTGTATAATGTCGAATATACTAATTATCCTGATTTGAGCATCATATATTGCACATAGGTGATGATATTCAACTCTGTACCACACAGATATGTACAATCAACTATGTTACAACAAAAAATAAAGAAAAAACAAAAATAAATATTATGGAAAAGTTAGGATGGTGAAACACTGAAAAACTGGTTAGGAGTTTTGATGGTATACTTGGATAAAACTTACTTTTGTTAAAATGCCTGTTTGTCAGAGCACATTTGTTCACTCAACACCATCTTTCCAGGTATGATCCCACATCCAAAACCTGCACAGCTGTCTTCAGGTCCCTGTGCTCTGGAGGGAGTGGGCTACCCTGCGGAGCTGAGAAGGGCGACAGCCCACGCCCACTACTTCCTCCCTTCAGTTCCTTCCCGCAAGTCAAGCCTCCCACGGTCCACCCCCCACCCAACTCAAGCTCAGAGTTCCTGAATGGCCACTGTCACCTGCAACCTCACTGCGTTTCTCATGGCAAGTTCACTTTTGTTTTGCAAATTTTTTTTTTAAATACAATGAATTTTCACTAACTAAGGCAATACTGGCTCAGCACCTCTTAGCTACTCTAAAAGTAAAATAGATGTGCACACCAGTATAGAGTTTTAAATCCCCTCCCCCTCGTTTTTGGAGTTGACTCCTTCAAAAAAGTCATTTAAAAAAACAAATATCACATTTTTAATCCTGAGAGGGTATACTTCTTTCCGAGCCATACTCCAGTATTTTGCAAAGAAGTGTGATGGCCACTGTACACTGAGAAGGGAACGGAATTGCAAATATGCATTGCTCATCCAGATAAACCAGTTCCACTTTCTCCCCTGTTGGCCAGCCTTCCCCCCCTCGCACCCCCCACCCCCAACGTACAGTGCATAAGATTCTTTTGTTAACGACCAATGCATTTTTAATGAATCAGGTTCTTCAGAGGGAGAGTTTGGGATTCTGTCCTCTATGCATTAGCACAAACATAATCACATGAAGGTCACAGAGATCCCTCAGCTTTTTCTGGTATTTATACCTTTTGTACCCACTGTCTGCAGTTTTCACCAGCAAGTGAGGTGATACAAAGGTTACTTATTATAAGATGGACAGTTGAATGCATTATTATTTCATGTTGGGCATGTGAACCTCAGCTAAGTAGGGCAGAAGTCCCCTCTAAATTAAACTTCCCTTTCTTTCAAATTCTTCAAAATTACTAAATGCCAAGGAGGGAGTGGAGGTATCTATAAAAATCTTTTCAGAGCCACAGCCACTGTTTGCCACTTTTTACTGACAGTCAGGATTTCTTTGTGATACTGGCCACACAGGTATTTCTGTAAAGAACACTACACAGACCCTTGGTGGAATTCAAGACTCTAAAGCAATAAGCTGATTCTATAAACCACACTTGATAATCAAACATTTACTAATTCATGTAAGGGTTTGTATATCTTTGAAGATTATGTTGTCAGGTACTTTTAACTTCACCCATTGAGGCCCGAAGACCAGAAAATGTCTAATGACATTAATGTGAAAATGGATTCCTTTATTCTAGTACAGGTGATAGCTAGCCTCTGATAGAGAAAAGTCCAGTTTTCTGTAAATGAGGGGTCAAGGTCCTGAGTGGTTCTAAATGCGGATCTCTATTTTAAGGCTGCATATGTCCAGGAAAAGTCCAAGGGAGACCGGGGATACATTTAGATAAAGCACAGACAGAAACCTTACACATCTCTTACTAGGACTTGATTATCTGAAGATGATTTTGTAAAGCCCACCAAAATTATTCAATAATCGCTTCAGCTCTACATGTAGATTTAGTCTATGTGAGCTATAGAAGAATTTAAAGACTCTTTTTCTCAAAATTTACTAAATCTTCCTTCTGTTTTCCTCCAACAATTTTTATTATTTGCTTTCACATCCATCTAATAAAAGCAGAGCTGAACTCCTGTGATATCCAGGCCAATGAAGGTCTCAATTCCTGTAAATACGATTTCTCGGAGAGAGATGAAAAAAGAGTCATCAAATCTACTTTAGTAAAGTTCCATGACACACGGGTGGCAGGTGGAGAGCTCTGGGGTAGGCACTAGCCCTTGAGTACTGTGTCTCTACAGGACGGTCAGCTCTTTCAGGGTTAGGGCTCGTTCTAGCTCACCTTTGTATCTCCTGCACACCAGCTCAGGACCTTGCTATGTATGTGTGTGTACATGCGTGCATATGTACGCATGTGTGTTGGTGTTAATGTACGTTGTAATGAGTTGGCATTCTTTTTTAATATGTATATAATTTACATTTTATTATGAAAATTTCAGACATACATAAAATGGTACAATCATTCCCTGTATATTCATCACCTGGATTTAATAATTACTAACATTTTGCCATATTTTCTTCATATAATTTTCATCTACTTATTTCTCTGCCATTGTCTTAAAACAAAGCCCAGACACTTCCTGCATACTTCAGTATGCATCACTAAAAAACAAGAACATCTTTTATGATTCCAAATTATAACAGTTTTAAGTTGTAAGGAAAGTAGAAAAAGTTTAGTCAGGCTCACTTGCCTCGTATTTGTTACAAATGGGCAATATTCATCACATTCACCAGAAACAAGTTGTAAAAGTCGTGTCACTGTGCATGTGTGCATGATTGTTGTAATTATGCAATGCTTAGCTTGTGGCTGCTCTTGTGTACTAAGAGTATAAAGGTAACAGCTCCAAAACGCTGGTGGGCAGAGCACGGAGGGTCAGCAGAGTGGGGGCAGAGCCTGAGCTTGTCTTGGAGACATAAAGCATGTCTGTGAAGCTCACATTTGAAGAATAAAGTATGTCTACCTTGCATAAAGCTGCCAGGGTCTTCTTTCAATTACCTGGCTCACGACCTGCACAGGAAGGGACAGAAGGATCTGAGATCTCAGCCCGACCTGTTTTCAGTATCACTCTACACATTAGCTATCTGTTGCTGCGTAACAAGTCACTGCATATTTTGTGGCTCGGGACAGCACAAACGCATTGTCTCTCAGTCTCCTGCGCCAGGGGGTGCTGGGCGCAGCCCAGCGGGGTCCTCTGCCCGGGGTCACACAGGCTGCGATTGGGGCGTCAGCTGGGCTGCTTTCGGTTCCAGCCCCAGGCTTGGGCGGGCCTGCTTAAAGCCATG